AAAAAAAAAAAAGATCTACTTATTCATGTCTGTGCATATGCTTTTGAACTCAGGCAGGAACTGATTTTAGTGGAATTAACATATGTAAAAATGGACGTACCAAATAGTCTTCCTCCTTTCTTCCTTATTAGAAAATGTCATCTGACAGTAGACCAGAGCTAGGAGTACCATGGACTCTTCCATCAAGGATAGCACACCATTTGATCCTCCTAATCCCGTTCTTTTAACTTCCCCTCCCCCCACCCCAATCGTCTCTTGTTATCTGGATTCTTTAGAATCCAGAAAGAGTTTAGCATTATGATTCAGAACACAGATTCTGGAGCCAAACTAGTGGGAGTCAGACAGCTTGGCTTTGAGTCCTGGCTTGAAATTGTACTAGCTGACCTTAAGCAAACTACTTAATCATCTGTGTCTGTTTTCTAGCTGTGAAGGTGGGAATAATTAGCCCTTAGCTCAGAGGACTGAGGTAATGCATTACACTGTTTTACACGAAGCACTTAGAACAGTGTTAGCATACAGTCAGTACTATGTAAGTATTAACTATTATCATTATTACTCTGAGATTCCATCACAGTGAAAAGATCAGCTAGAATTCAGTTCATGGGATGATTCACTGGACCAAATAAACATTCTTATTAAAATTTTACTCACTAAGGGAACTCTTACCATTTGGACTAATCTGCTTTCAAAAATGAAAGAAACAAACAACTGAACATTATCTGCTAAAGGAACAGCACAAGAGAAGATCTCTTAATAGAAGAGCAAGATTAAATATTTTTTATTCAAATATACTGACTCGTGCCCATGGCATGCTGAATTCTAATGCCTTAGATTACTCTCTGACATGCGCTTACATTCATGCTCTCATAAGTGGAGCTGCATGTTTACAAAGTGCCAACTGTATTTTTCTCCTCAACCTTTTTGTACATTTTATATTTACGACTGCAATTCTTTAAATATTATGTAATCTGATAAAATACTGATGTGAAAGAAACTTTCTATGTAAACTAGGTTAAATATTCTGGAATATTTGAAAAAGATGAGTCATTTTATAAGCTGCTGTTGAATTAGTAAGAGACTAGAAAACAGGCAAAATTTTAGACTGGATTCTGACATCAAACCTCTTCCCAAGTATCTTTGATATTCTTCCACTTTTAAGGAATTAAAAGGGGACATAAGATATAATGCACTTGCTGGGAGAGAACGTTCCCCTTCCTGGAGTACTTTTGGAAGAGGGTATATTGCCTCTCCAAGGACAAGAGACCCGCCGCGTGCCATTGAGCTGGTCCTTCATCAGCAAGGGACAGAAGCCCGCACAGAGGACAGATAACCTGTCCGCTGCTTTTCGCTGTCCTTCAGTATAAGCTCCAAGTACCTGTGCAACTGTGCAACTGCCTTTCTGGGACAAAGCAGCACCAGACACAGCATGGCGAGGCTCTCCTCTGGAGGAGGGGAGAGGGTCCACACCACGCAGGGTCCTTTAAAATCTGGAGTTGTGATTCCCAGCTGCACGCCAGAGATAAAACACTGTGGCGCTGGGGGTACGGATGGCCTGGGCACAGACAGGTTGAGGGAGGGGGTTTAACAGAAGTCTGGGACACGAGAGGGGAGACTGTTCACTTTTCTGTGAGGGCTTCCTGAACAGCAGCAGGCTGAGATCCCCTCCCTGCAGAGGAGAGAGCAGGGTGATGCCATTTCCCCCTCGCCCCCCAAACCACCAGTGAACAGTTGGACTTCAGTGTGCAATACAGCACCCGCAGTGGAGGCTAGAGCTGCTTACACCAAACCTCCCCCCCACCCCCGCACCCTGCAGGTGCATCTTTACCCTGGAAGGTCTGACTGTGAGCCAGGGCAGCAGGCCTCTACCCCAGAGGAACAACACAAGCCCCCTGCATGTACCAAGTCAACTGATCACAGAGGCTCCAAAGGGTCAGCTTCAGTTCTGGTAGAAATAGATTTTATTTACTTATTTATTTAAAAGAGAGAGAGAGAGAGAGCATGCATGCACACAAGAGGGGATGAAGCAGAGGGGAAGGGAGAGGGAAGAGGAAAGAATCTCAAGTAGACTCTCCACTGAGCGCGGACCCAACTTGGGGCAATCTCATGACCCTGAAGTCATGACCAGCACCAAAACCAAGAGTCAGATTCTTAACTGACTAAGCCACCCAGGTGGCACTGTTCTAGTGGAAATAGAACCAGGCTTTCTTGCTCTTTTTTTTTTTTTCCCCCCTTTGGAATCAGGCTTATAGGTTATTGTTTGTTTTTTCATTTCCTTTTCTCTTTCTTTGGATCAGGCTTCCTTTTTTCTTTTTCTTTGGAAAACTATCTTATAGTTTTTTGTTTGTTTCTTTGGAGGTTTTTTTTTTGGTCCCTTTTCCTTTTTTTTCAGATCAGGCTTTTTGTTTGTTTGTTTAAATCAGGCTTATTTTAACAAATCAAAGCACACCTAGTTAAAGGCCTAAACACTCCCACTGCAAGCAAGGAGGAACTCTGCACAAGACTGACCTGCGGGAAAGAGCCGCCACAACACAAGAGCAGACTGCAAACAGCATACACCAGAGACACTTCCTGAAGCACCAGGCCCTGGACAGTGTGTGACTCTTTCTTAATATAGTCTTACTCTCAATAAGTAAGTAATTAATAACAAACATAACAAGCTTTCAAATACCCAAAGACAGAAACCTAGACATAATGACAAGATGGGGGGATTCTCCCCTAAAGAAAGATCAAGAAGAAATCACATACCAGGGATTTGCTCAAACAAATATAAGCAATGAATCTGAACAAGAATTTAGAACAACAGTCATAAGAACACTGGCTGGACTTGAAAGAAGCATGGAAGACACCAGAGAAACTCTGGCTGCAGAGACAAAAGACCTAAAAACTAGCCAGGCTGAAATAAAAAATGCTATGACTGAGATGCAAAACTGTAATCATAGTGAGGATGGAAGAAGCAGAGGAAGAAATAGGTGATACAGAAGATAAAATTATGGAAAATAATGAAACTGAAAAAGACAGGGGAAAAAATCTATTAGATCACGAATATAGACTTAGGGGACTCAGCAATTACATAAAGCACAACAATAGCCATATCACAGGAGTCCCTGAAGAAAAAGAGCAGGAAAAGGGGGCAGGAGGTTTATTTGAACAAATTATGGCTGAGAATTTCCCTAATCTGGGGAAAGAAACAGGTGTTCAAGTCCAAGAGGCACAGAGAACTCCCCTCAAAATCAACAGAAACAGGTCAACAACCAGGACATATAGTGAAACTTGTAAAATACAAAGATAAAGAGAGACTTCTAAAAGTAGCTAGGGAAAAAATGTCCTTAACCTACAAGGGCAGACACATAAGGTTAGCAGCAGACCTGGCCACAGTAACTTAGCAGGCCAGAAGAGGATGGTATGAAATACTCAACGTGCTAAGGGGGAAAATATGCAGTCAAGAATACTTTATCCAGCAAGGCTATCATTCAGAATAGAAGGAAAGATAAAGAATTTCTCAGACAGGCAAAAACCAAAGGAGTTCATGAAGAGTAAACCAGCCCTGCAAGAAAAATTAAAGGGGCCCCTGAGTGGGAAAGAGACCAAAAGCAACAAAGACTAGAAAGGAAACAGAGACAATCTACAGGAACAGCAACTTTACAGCTAATACAATGGCATTAAATCGTATCTATCAATAATTACTCTGAATGTAAATGGACTCAATGCTCCAATCAAAAGACATAGGGTATAAGAATGACTAAGAAAACAAGACCCATTACATGCTGCTTACAAGAGACTCATTTTAGACCCAAAGACACCTGCAGATTGAAAGTGAGGGGGTGGAGGACCATTTACCATGCAAATGGTCATCAGAAGAAAGCTGGAGTAGCCATACTTATATCAGACAAACTAGATTTTAAACCAAAGACTGTAAATAAGAGATGAGGAAGGGCACTATATCATAATAAAGGGGTCTATCCAACAAGAAAATCGAGCAATTGTAAATATTTATGACCCCAACTTGGGATCACACAAATATCTAAATCAATAACAAACATAAAGAAACTCATTGATAATACAGTAATAGTAGGGAACTTTACCACCCCACTCACAGCAATGGACAGATCATCTAAGCAGAAGATCAACAAGGAAACAAGAGCTTTCAATGACACACTGGACCAGATGGACTTAACAGATACAGTCAGAACATTTCATCCTAAAGCTGCAGAATACACATTCTTTTCAAATGCACAGAGAACATTCTCCAGAATAGATCACATACTGGGTCAAAAGTCAGGCCTCAACCAGTACAAAAAGACTGAGATCACACCATGCATATTTTCAGACCACAATGTTATGAAACTTGAAGCCAACCACAAGAAAAAATTTGGAAAGACCATAAATACCTGGAGGTTAAAGAAGTATCTTACTAAACAATGAATGGGTCAGCTAGGAAATTAAAGAAGCAATAAAAAAAAAAAATACATGGAAGCAAAGGAAAATGAAACACAATAGCCAAAAAACATCTGGGATGCAGCAAAGCGGTCCAGGAGGGAAGTATATAGCAATACAGTCCTACCTCAAGAAGCAAGAAAAATCTCAAATATACAACCTAACCTTACACCTAAAGGAGCTAGAAAAAGAATAGCAAATAAAGCCTAAAACCAGCAGAAGAATGGAAATAATGAAGATTAGAGCAGAAATAAATGGTATAGAAATTTAAAAAAGAACAGCAGAACAGATCAACAAAACTAGGAGCTGGTTCTTTGAAAGAATTAACAAATTGATAAACCCCTAGCCAGACTTATCAAAAAGAAAAAAGGACCCAAATAATCACAAATGAGAAAGGAGAGATCACAACCAACACTGCAGAAATACAAACACTTATAAGAGAATATTATGAGCAATTATATGCCAACAAACTGGGCAATCTGGAAGAAATGGATAAATTCCTAGAAAAATATAAAGTACCAAAACTGAAGCAGAAAGAAATAGGAAATTTCAACAGACCAATAACCAGCAAAGAAATTGAATTACTAATCAAATATCTCCCAAGAAAGAAGAGTCCACGGTGGATGGCTTCCAAGGGGAATTCTACCAAACATTTAAAGAAGAGTTAACATCTATTCTTCTCAAACTGTTCCAAAAAATAGAAATGGAAGGAACACTTCCAAACTCATTCTATGAGGCCAGAATTATCTTGATTCCAAAACCAGACAGGGACCACTAAATCCACTGGAAAAGAGAATTAGAGGGGCACCTGAGTGGTTCAGTTGGTCTGAAGCGTCTGACTCTTGATTTTGGCTCAAGTCATGATCTCGGGGTTGTGAGATCGAGCTGTGCGTTGGTCTCTGCACTCAGCATGGACTCTGCTTGAGAGTCTCTCCTTCTGTCCCTCCCACCCCATTTCCCCTCTTTCTCAAATAAATCTTTTTTTTTTTTTAAGGGAGAATTGCAGACCAATATCCCTGATGAACATGGATGCAAAAATTCTCAACAAGATACTAGCAAATTGAATCCAACCGCATGCTAAAACAATTGTTCACCACAATCAAGTGGGATTTATTCCTGGGTGGCAGCGTGGTTCAATATTCACAAATCAATCAATATGATACACCACATTAATAAAAGAAAAGATAAGAACCATATAATCCTCTCAACAGATGCAGAAAAAGCATTTGACAAAATACGGCATCCTTCCTTGAAAAAACCTTCAAGAAGTAGGGATAGAAGGAACAAAGCTCAACATCATAAAGGCCATATACAAAAGACCCATAGTTAATTATCATCCTCAATGGGGAAAAACTGAGAGCTTTTCCTCTAAGGTCAGGAACCTGACAGAGATATCCACTTCCACCATTGTTGTTCAACATAGTACTGGAAGTCTTAGCCTCAGAAATCAGGCAACAAAAAGAAAAGAAAACCAGCAAGGAAGAAGCCAAACTTTCAGTATTTGCACAGTACATGATACTCTATGTAGAAAACCCAAAAGACTGCACCAAAACTTTGCTAGAAGTGATACATGAATTCAGCAAAGTTGCAGGATATAAAATCAACATACAGAAATATGGTGCATTTCTATAAAGAAGCAATAATGAAGCAGCAGAAAGAGAAGCCAAGGAATTGATCCCATTTACAATTGCACCAAAAACCATAAGATAGCTAGGAATAAACCTAACCAAAAAGGTAAAAGACTTGTACTCTGAAAACTATAGAAACTTATGAAAGAAATTGAAGGTGACACAAAGAAATGGAAAAATATTCCATGCTCATGGATTGGAAGAACAAATATTGTTAAATGTCTATACTACACAAAGCAATCTATACATTCAATTCAATCACTATCAAAATGCCACCAGCATTTTTCACAGAGCTAGAACAATTCTAAAATTTGTATGGAACCAGAAAATATCCCGAATAGTCAAAGTAATGTTGAAAAGAAGAGCAAACTGACAGGCATCACAATTCCAGACTTCAAGCTCTATTACAAAGCTGTAATCATCAAGACAGTATGGTACTGGCACAAAAACAGACACATGGATCAATGCAACACAATAGAGAACCCAGAAATGGACCCACAACTATATGGTCAACTAATCTTTGACAAAGCAGGAAAGAATATCCAATGGAAAAAAAGACAATTTTCCAATAAATGGTGTTGGGAAAAAATGGACAATGACATGCAGAAGAAGGAAATTGGGCCACTTTCTTACACCATACACAAAAATAAATTAAAAGTGGTTGAAAGACCTAAATGTGAGACAGGAAACCATCAAAATCCTAAAAAACACAGGCAGCAACCTCTTTGACCTTGGCCTTAACAACTTCTTACTAGACATGTCACCTGAGGCAAGGGAAACAAAACCAAAAATGAACTATTGGGACTTCATCAAGATAAAAAGCTCCTGCACAGTGAAGGAAACAATAAACAAAACTAAAAGGCAGTCTATGGAATGGGAGAAAATATTTGTAAATCTTGACATATCTGATAAAGAGTAGGATCCAGAATCTATAAAGAACTCATCAAACTCAATACCCAAAACCCAAATAATCCAGTCAAAAAATGGGCAGAAGACATGAACAGACATTTTTCCAAATAAGACATACAAATTGATAACAGACACATGAAAAGATGCTCAACATCACTCATCATCAGGGAAATACAAATCAAAACCAGGATGAGATACTACCTCACACCTATCAAAATGGCTAACATTAACAACAAAGGATCCAACAAATGTTGGCGAGGATGTGGAAAAAGGGGAACCCTCTTGCACTGTTGGTGGGAATGCAAGCTCGTGCAGCCACTGTAGAAAACAGTATGGCGGTTCCTCAAAAAATTAAAAATAGAGCTACCCTATGACCCAGCAACTGCACTAAGAGGTATCTACCTAAAGTATAGAAAAGTACAGATTCAAAGGGGGCACATGCACCCTGGTGTTTATAGAAGCATTATCAACAACAACAAACTATGGAAAGAGTCCAAATATCTATTGAGTGATGCATGGATAGAGAAGATGTGGTGTGTTTATAAATATATACATATATATATATGCACACACACACACACACACACAGGAATATTACTCAACCATCAAAAAGAATGAAATCTTGCCATTTGCTACATTGTGGATGGAACTAGAGGGTATTATGCTAAGTGAAATAAGTCAGTCAGAGAAAGACAAATACCATATGATTTCACTCATATGTGGAATTTATGAAACAATATGGATGAACTTAGGGGAAGGGAAGGAAAAATAAAATAAGATAAAAACAGACAAGGAGGTAAACCGTAAGAGACTCTTAACTATAGAGAACAAATTAAGGGTTGCTGGAAGGCAATGGGTGGGGGCATGGGCTAGATGGGGGATGGGTATCAAGGAAGGCACTTGAGATGAACACTGGGTGTTACATGTGAGTGATGAATCACTAAATTCTACTCCTAAAACCAATACTACACTATATGTTACCTAATCTGAATTGAAATAACTTGGAAGAAAAAAAAAAGATATAATGCACTTGGACATGGTTTCTGTAAGAAAGGCAAAATGGAACTCCTAACAGATGAATGATACTCAAAGATTCTTTCCAAATCAAAAGACCGATGGAAAAAAAAAAAAAGCCAACCAAAACCATATGTTCATGTACTTAATGTTTAAATTCATATTTAAGGTATATGGGAATTTTTGTCTTTTCCTTAAAATGGTTCTGTACTTGACCAGATGGCCCACGCTGCTTGGGCAGCATCCATTCCAGCCTCAGAAGCCAGTTCCTGCACCAAGCACATACCTGTGTGAGAAGAATGTTATCAAACAGCAGTTGAGTTTCCGACTGATCTTTAGTGATATCTGCATTGGCATTCATCCCAAAGATTTCCGGTGCAGGGTTCAGGGGCAGAGTCTTTGTGTATTCGATGTAGCTTTTGTGCTGCCAAGATGAATAACAAAGAGTCAGGAGGTTAGAAATCAATTATCCTGTAGAACTTTCTCTCTGAGAAGTGATAATTTTCAATACTCAAGTTATTGAGTGGATGAGCCTGTGGAATTGGACACTGAATGCTTTCATTTTCTTTCAACCTGGGCCAAAGATAAAAAAAAAAAAAGGAAACATTTAGGAAGAAAAAATAAAATGTTCCATTCAATTGAAATGGATTTGAAAATGGAGAGAGGAACATCCCAGCCATCTCATTTAGCTGGAGAAATTTTTCTGCGTCACATTTACTGATGATTGTTCTTCATTTATTGCAATAAAAATAATTTTTTTCTCTTTACTCTGATTTTTCTGTTTGCTTGTGATAAATCCACGTAATTCAGAAAAGTAAACATTACCCGAATGTTTATTACCCTGAGATAATCACCATTAACATTTATTTTTATACATATGCACATACATTTTGTACTTTCTTTACATGGACTTCTGTCAAAATTACAAACCTTTCTTCATGCTCACACAATCATACCAACTCATATACATATATGGTGAGTGGGGGTAGGGGATTGTTCACTGATGGTTTCTCGAAATGGGTCATGTTACATATACCTGACTTCATCTTGCTTTTTTCTCACTTGACAATTCATCACTGGAAATTCTGATACCCATGGCTCCACATGTTGACCTCCTCCACTCATTTAGTGACCTTGGCTCTGGGACTGATTTTCTTTTCATCCCTATTGACATCTGCTCTCAGCTAGCATTAATCTTAATGAACGATGCATTTATGGTATGTGCCTCTGATGCATGTGGTCATAGTTTAACTTTCAATGTGTGCCCATTTGACTTTTAGGAATAAAATGAGAACCAATTCAATTGTCCTGGCAGTTTCTGGAAGTCTACTGTGTGATCATCTGAAGGCAGATCCCACATCTTCTACTACGCAGGCCTGGAAAAAGTAGGCAGAGGGAAATGGACTCTAGGCAGGAGATGGTTCTGTAACTCTCTCCCCCTTTTTACCCGTGTGGTCTTGGGCAAGTTCACTTTAGTGAACCTGCTTTCTCGTTTGTAAAAAGGACAGAATAATAATACTGATGTTAATTTGAAGCTCTAGTGAGATAATGAACTGTACTGCTTTGTAAATAAGTAAGCATGATCTAGATATTAACTATGATTGTTAATATTATTTTGTAACCCTTCTCATGTGTGTTTCCACTTTAATTGGGTACAATGACTTTCTACCAATGGAATAAATTCATGACAACAGAATTTCAGCTCACTAAGGAAGCTCTTCCCGGGTGAGGGGTCTTTCTGATAGCCCTCACATTACAGCAAACAGCAAACAGCAAACTACTAACTACATCTATGCATGAGGTTGGTTCTGTTCCAAGAAGGCTGAAAAAAGCACACACAATGGTTAACCAAAAAACAAGGCCTCTGGGGAAAAAAAATCACCATTTTATCAGAGGAATTTCAGGTTTTACGGCTTTTCGTTTTCTTGAAGGGCATACTTACATCACCAGAAGGAGGAACAAAATAGATGCCGCTTGAGTCGAATTTATAGCTTGGGTTTTGGACTAATTCTGTGTTGAAGAATTTGTTCAGAATGCTGCGCAGGGTGCGCCGATCCCAGTCGTCAGTCACCCTGCCTCCGTAATTGCATTCACCTGTCATGTACCGCAGAGCTTCGTAAGGCAGCTCCTAGAATCCAGAGTTCAAGTCACTCCTCCAGCTAAGAGTTATCAGTAGCACATCATGCAGAGCTGTGTTTCCTGTTTGCTCCTATTATTAAACTGCTTACAAAAATTTGCCTTAAGCACAATTTCCCCTTACATACGTTTCTGCTGATGGTCGCGATTTCCCCCATAGTCTTTTTCTCCTTGTATGATCTGTCATTTCTATTCAGTCAATGCAGAGAACAGAATTTGTCTATTAACTTGGCATTCACTCACTATTCAACCAACACTAATGGACCACCTACTATGTGCCAGGCACAGAATGAGACCAGAATCCCATCCTTGAAAACGTGGCATCGCTGACATTCAAAACAAATCCAATGTAATTCAGAGATAATCAGTGTTGGTTTCTTGCATCACCTTTTTATATCCCTCTGTATTTTGACAAGTGGAATCATTGTAGAGGCAATTTTGCATATAACTTTTCACCAAAGCTCATATTATAAGATACCTTTTACCATTTCATAAAATACTCTTTTAAAATATTTTAATAATTTAAGAAACAAAACAGATGAACATGGGGGAAGGGGAAAAAAACAGAGAGAGGAAAGCAAACCTGTAAGAGACTCTTAATGATAGAGAACAAACTGAGGGTTGATGGAGGGCAGTCGACCGGGGATGGGCTAGATGGGGGATGGGTATTAAGGAGGGCACTTGTGATGAGCATTGGATGTTATATGTAAGTGATGAATCACTATATTCTACTCCTGAAACCAATATTACACTATACGTTAACTAGAATTTAAAAATTTGAAATAAAAGAAAAAAATTTTAATAACTATCTTCCAATATTGAATACTTCAGTCACTCCTAATTTTCTGCTGTGTTAAATTACGTTTCATTAAATATACATTTCTTAAAATTTCTAATGATTTTTTAGTCTAGATTCCTGAAAAGGAAACTACTATGTCAAAGGTAAAGAGTTTATAAAAAGCAATTGATTAATGTTACCAAGCTACTTTTCTTTCATTTTTTTTTTTTTTAAGTAGGCTCCATGCCCAGCAAGGAGCCCAATGTGGGGCTTAAACTCACACTCTGAGATCAAGACCTGAGCTGAGATCAAGAGTCGGACACTTAACTGACAGACACCCAGGCAGCCCACCAAATTGCTTTTCTGAAAGGCTGTAGTCATTGTAGGAATCAGTTTTAAAATTTTTGCTAATTTGTTTGACCAAAGATAATTAATATTGTGCTAATTTGCATTCCTAGAATATCAGTGAAGTTCATAATTTTTTTCATGTTTAATAACATTTGTTCTGTGAACTAGCCTTCTACCCATTTTTTTCAATTGGTTTTAATGGCTTTATTTGTATAAGCTGTTTTATAAATTATCCTTTTTAATCAAATTTGTGGAAATATTTTTTCCTTTTAGTTTGCTTTTTTATTATATTCTCTGGTATGAAGAATTTTTAAATGTTTATGAGTACAAAAGTATTGATTGTTCATACGGCAATTTGTTTTATCATCAGCATAAATACTTACATATCCAAATAGAATTCTCTATTTCTCACTGCTCTCAACAAAACTGAGTGTTATCATTTAGGAGAAAAAACTGACAGTTAAACAATAACATTGTTAACTCCAGGTACATTTTTAAATTTTTTAAAAATACTTTAAAAATATTTGTTTATTTTTAGTAATCTCTATACACAACATGGGGCTTAAACTTACAACCCCAAGATCCAGAGACGCATGCTCTACATACTGAGCCAGCCAAGTGTGCCTGTTTTTAATTTTTAAGTGTATTTTTTTACTGAGATAAAATTGACATATAACATTAGTTTCAAGCATATTACAATGATTTGGTATTTGTATATATTGTAAAATGATCACAATGAATCTATTTAACATGTCATTACATGTAATTACACATTTTTTCTTGTGATGAGAACTTTTAAGATCTATTCTTAGCCACTTTCAAATATGCAATATGGTATTAACTCTAGTCACCATACTGTCCGTTTACATACCTTAAGTTTATTTTTGATATTGACATTTTAAAAATGCTTATTCACCACTTGTATTTATTTTGTTAAATAACCTACTCTGTTCTTCTATGTGTTTTCCTCATTTGGATGATTATCTTCTTTATTGTTATTAAAAGCTCTTTATACAGTTATAAATCAGTTTGTCAGATATATTTTAGCTATCTCCTCGGTTTTCAATTGTCTTTAATTTTTACGATGTTTGTTTGTGGTAATAAAGCAATGTTTTAAAATATAGCAATCTTTGATTTTAGAATTATTTCATTGCCTTTGTCCTTTCAAGCCCTTCTTGCAGTTATCTGTGCAAAGTTAAGAGTGTATATCCCACATCCCTGGGATCCCACGTTGAGGAATCTCTTCAATAGAAATAATCACACTAAGGAAGAGTAGGTGATAGTTGTTAGAGAGGGGAAATTTATTGAATTAGGGGCTGGGAATGATGAAACTGGTTATTTGTTAGAACTGGAATGGAAGGCGAGAATTTAGGAGAACTTGTGTCAGTGACCAAGACCTTGTGGAGAAACAAACAGAATCAGGATGAACTCCAGCATGTTTATGTTCTTCCAATGTCGAATGAGACGGGAGTTTGGTCAGATGCATGCACTGCCTGGACTTGCCTTGCTGACCTCATGAAAATGAAACAAAGCAAGAAAACTCATTTGCATAGTAAATAGGTAGTAAAACTCATTTGCATAGTAAATAGGTAGAACGAAGGTGAACCAGCTGGCCCCTGGGAGGGCTTCCAGACGTAGAGGAAAGAGGAGATGGAGAGGGGGAAGAGTTTGATTTATGGAAAAAGGGTTAAACCCGCCCACTTGTCCCAGAACTGATGGGTAAGATGTTGTTTCTCTCAGCAGCTTGATCACAACCAGGACCAATCACACTGGGGAGTGAATTCTCCCAGGGGCCCGGGGATGCTGGTTGGGGTCGCAGAAATCATGGCAGCTTGTTGCTGGGCCCTTTGAGACCACGGACGGAGAGAGAGTGTGTATGTGGAAGCAGAGCTCGAAGTCAGCAACTTGTATGCAAGGGTGTACACAACGGCGTTCATTTTAGCATTGCTTATTAGCAAAAAATAAAAAAGAAATAAAATCCTAATGGTCAACAAAGGGGGAATGCTGTGTAAGCAGCCATGAAACAAAGATCTCTATCTACTTTGGAAGTTGTCCACAATATATGCAGAATGAAAAAAGCAAGCTGAAAATGTGCAAATACGATTATGTTCTTCAGAAAAAAATTTGTGTATATTGTGCTTATGTATATATGATCTACATGCATATATGAAAACTTCAGGACAGATATGTCCTAAGCTGTGAAATTGGTTGCTTTGGGGTGAAAGTAGGGTGAGAGGGAGGGGTGGGCCTTAAACACACAGGCACGCACGCACGCATGCATGCACACACACCCCTACCAAAACGAGAAAAACAAAGCCATTGCCCATCTGCCAAGCAGATTATATCTATCTACTATTATTTTCTTCTTTTACAGTTTAACTTTTCCTATTTCCTTTAATCCAACAGGAATTACACAGTATAAATAATCTAACTTGTTTTTTTCCTAATAGCAAACAATCAATCATTCTATCATAATTTATTGACTACTTCTCCTATTTCCTATTCATTTTATTTTTTCTCGTTATTTTTCTTTTGAATTCTAGTTAGTTAACATGTAGTGTAATACTGGTTTCAGGAGTAGAATTTAGTGATTCATCACCTACATACAACACCCAGTGCTCATCCCAACAAGCGCCCTCCTTAGTACCCATCACCATTTAGCCCATCCCCCACCCACCTTCCCTCCCTCAACCGTTTGTTCTTTATCGTTAGAAGTCTCTTATGATTTGCCTCCCTCTCTTTCTCCCCCCTTCCCCTATGTTCATCTGTTTTGTTTCTTAAATTCCACATATGAGTGAACTTTTTGGACAAAATTCTAACAAAATTAGGAGGGACTCACTTTCAAAAAGTTCCATACCCTTGCAGGACACTTGGATTGGTTTAACAAGCAGTTCTTCAAAGTTGCAAATATGTTAAAAACCCAACTGATAGACAAGTGGCAAAAAAAGAAAATGATGTGTGTGTGTGTGTGTGTGTGTGAGAGAGAGAGAGAGAGAGAGAGGGAGAAAAAGAGAGAATTGTAGGTGCTTAAATGTGGTTGATGTGACAACATTAGGCTGTTTGGCTTCTTCCCAGAATCCATACCTCAGGTGAACATCAATGGTCTAAAGAGTTTGTTTTCTCCTGACAAATGGCCCAAATCCAAATTCTGGAATAAGAGTACAATGACATTTTCCTAAAAATAAAGTCATGCTCCAGAACAGAAGGAAATCAGTCCGTATTTTTCATTTCGGAGCCTGGTTGATTTATGGTCTTCTTAAATCCTTTTCAAAATAAATACAATATGCTCCGTTCTCAGATTCCCACAGGTGTTTACATGTCAAAAATAAGTGATAAGATACAGGTTCCTAACAGCCAATGTCCTAACTACCTAAACTAAGTAATACTAAAAGTATTACTTAATAAGCTGTTGGGAATTATTCTATTTGTTTTATGAGTAGAAATTAATCAGAAGTCCCTGCTCACTATACAAACACTTACAATGTAATAAAGAGCAAAATAGGTAATGTCCTTGCTGTGATTTTTATGATACCTCATACTGGTTCAGGAACATGTGGAGTTGCTGTACGCTGATTCTTAGGTCAGTCTCATTGAACTCATAAGGAATATTCCACCCCAGGGGTCCAAATTTCCGTCTCTCTTGCACCAAAGCATGAAAGAAGCAGAGACCATAAAGTAATTTCTTGAATTCCTCCTGTAATTAGAAGAAATGGCACCACGTCATTTCCCCCTACCACTGCATTATACTTACCACTTTTTAAAATGAAAGTAACTCTTTTTGTTTATAAATATATCCATCCCAAAGTACGCCAAAACAGAATTCACTACTTCTACAGGATATTTAGGCAAAAATATGCCCATTCGCCTACATGTTCAGTTGGCACACATAGCTGTGGACACGAGATTTTTAGGGAGCATAGTAAGCTTGTCTATTTAGTGTTACCTTATAGGATTTTGGACGTTCCAACTGAAGCATAGTGAGGCAAGGAGAATGAATTCCAATGTGTGGTCCGAGACCACCATGGAGAAATTTCAAAGGAGACCCTTCAAACCAATTAAGCAGCTCTGTAAAGAACTTCTGGATTGAAACTTTGGGCAGCCTCAAGACTTTTCCAGTTACTCTTAGGTAATAAGTCTTATACTTACTTTGAATGCCAAAGCCAGCCTTGAATCAGAAATCAGAAAGTATGAGACACCCTCCACAAGAATGCTATAAAATGGTCAAAATAGAGCTTGAGAGAGGATTTGTGAACATTTCCTTGGAAAGAACAGCAGTTGTGCTAGGAGCCCTCTTGCTCCATCCCCAAGGGAGAAAGGAGCACAAGGTCTATCTTCTCAGTCCAAGCTAGTGAGAAGGAAATTGATGGGGTCAATCAGAGTTGATGCCTGTTTCCTGCAGCTAGGGTAGACTGGAAAAGTGCAAACATTACACTCAAAAGAGTAGAGCAGTGTAAGGGGGCAGGGTAGTGGACTGGGAGAGGGAAATCAGAGCCCCGCTTCCAATGGTGGGCCAAGCCAGTGTGGATCCCAAGGAGCAGATGAGGAGCTGGACTAAGAATGTCAGCCAGGGGGAGCACCCAGGTAGCTCATTTTGGTTAAATGTCTGACTCTTGATTTCTGTTCACGTCATGATCATCAGGGTTTTGAGATGGAGCCCTGTGTTGGGCTCTGTGTTGGACATGGAGCCTGCTTAAGATTCTCTCTCTCTCTCCCTCTCTCCCTTTCCTCTCTCTCTAAGAAAAAAAAAAAGAAAAGAAAAAGAAAAAAGAAAGTCAGCCAGGGGTCATTTGAAACATTTTTTGGTCAAGAGCGCTTGTATCACAGGGTAAGGAAATCCCAACAGTAAGAGTCTGTATGAAGTGAATGATAAGAACCAACAGCTGAGGAGGGTCAGGAGCAGTCAGCTGAAGGAGAGACATGACAAGGGTGATGGAGTCATGGTCAGAGGAGTCCGGAAGGGGAGCCCAAGGAGAACCCATGAAAAGACTCACAAGAGAAAAATTCAGCTTTAAACCCCCACCAAGTCCAGAGAGCTCCAAGCAATAACAGCCCAGGCCCAGAATGTCCACTCCACCCTGCTTTGTGTCTGCACATACTACAAATTGAGTGGTCAGGCTCAGCAGCCATCGTCTGCCAGGGGCACCACAGAAAGAAGGAGGCCAACTCTATCCTATTCCCCTAACAGCTTGAAGCCCACTGACCACAGGTCCTAGGTGAGTTTCTGGAGAGTCAAAGCCTACATTTTTTTTTTTAAAGATTTTATTTATTTATTTGAGAGAGAGAATGAGATAGAGAGCATGAGAGGGGGGAGGGTCAGAGAGAGAGGCAGACTCCCCGCTGAGCAGGGAGCCCGATGTGGGACTCGATCCCGGGACTCCAGGATCATGACCTGAGCCGAAGGCAGTCGCTTAACCAACTGAGCCACCCAGGCGCCCCAAAGCCTACATTTTAAGGAAAAGTTAAGTATGTATTGATTAACACACTGCACTGTACTTTCTGATTTCTGAATCAAGACTGGCTTTGCAAGTTAAAATGACCATAGGTCATTTCATTATCTGACAGTAACCAGAAAAGCCATGATACTGCCCAGAGTTTTATCCAAGGGCAGGTGGAAGTGTCCCCTGTGGAATAAACTGAAAGGGGGAGTGGAGACAAGAGCAAAGTAGCATCCGTTTAACCAGAGAGGTGGGAAAAAGCAAAGTGACACATGCTGTGTGGATTTGGGAACTATTTTATTTTATTTCATTTCATTTCATTTCATTTTATTTATTTTATTTTATTTTTCAGTAGGCTCCACACCCAGCATGGAGCTTGAGCTCAGAATCCTGAGATGGAGACCTGAGCTGAAATCAAGAGTGGGACACTTAACCCACTGAGCCACCCAGGCGCCCCTAGAACTATTATAGATACATTACAGAACCAAGCAAATTGGTAAATGTGCTGATGATGTGGGAACCAGATGCTCAGTGTAGAAGTGACCTGCACATATGAAATGAGGGAAAGTAAGAAAGAACCCTGGGTGGATGGACAGAAGTTGGATATACTGTTACAAACTCATCACCTCTGAAATATGAGAATGAATATGTATGTGTGCATGTACTTACGCACATATGTGTGTATATATATTTGTATGTATGTGTATGTGTGTGAGAGTACATGCATATATCTCCAAAGTTTCTCCCCTGAAAAGACCAAGAACCAAAAACAAGGCAGTAGCACTGAGCTCATCCAGCACCCAGATCTAGGTCTCTAGAACCAGGACTTCACAGAAAAATGGCTGGTGTCAGGGTTGGATGACTGAGAAGTCTGCAGCATCTTATGCCAAAAATGTAAGAAGGTTAAGTAATAACAACAACAACAACAATAATAATAATAAATGATGGGACCTAGTACAGAGGGGCCAGCTTGAAGGTGCTCCACTGACCCAATCTGGAACAATTTGAGCAAAAGACTTAAGGATGGCGATGAACTGTAAAGCACTGGGGGAAAAACCAAGGAATTCATGAGTCCATACCAACAACACATAAATAAAGGGGAAGACCAGAGGGCTGTTGCAGAGAGCAGAGTGGCAGATGTCAAATATGGAGGAAGTACTCGAGTTAGAATTATCATAGGAAATAATTGCCTCAGGCAAGATACATCGACGGCCACTAAAGCTGGGCCAGGGGTAAAGTTTGATGAGAAAGAGGATATTGGCATGGCCTGAAAATGTCTCCCCAGAGACTGATGGTTAGTTGCAAGGCACAAAGCAGTTACTACCCATTGAAGAACTCAGACATCACTTTCTCTGGGTGATCAAAATTCCTATCAACAGTGAGGGATAAATGGATATCATGTACCTCCCAATGTGATAGTCTGAGGACACAATTTCACTAAGGTCATATTTTGGCTAAAAATGAGTAACTTGAATCTAATCATGAGGAAATATCGACAAGCCCCAAATGAAATGTTCTATTAAAAAAAGCAAGAGGAGATGAATTCTTCAGAAAGGTCAATATCCTCAAAGCCAAAGAAAGGGGAGGCAATGTTCCAGATTAAAGGAGGCAAAGAGGCATGGCAACTCAATGTCATTCTAACCCTAGACCAACCTTTAGTAAGCAGGGAAGATGCTCTAAAGGACATGATTGAATCAATGGACAAATTTGGAACACAGTAAATTAGAGAGCGTGTCCTTGCCAAATCCACTAAACTAATAATAGTACCAGGGTATTAACAGGAGGTGAATATGGGTAAAGGGCATAGGGCTGTTCTTCATACTAGTTTTATACTTGCCACTTTTCTGTAAGTTTAAAATTATTTCCCAATAAGAAGTTAAAACAAAAATGATGACATACTCTTTTGGCATTTGAGGAGATTGGGCTTTTGGTTTGGATTGTGTTTCATAAATGCCTAGACTTCCAATATGTGTGACTTCCACTGGAGAGACCTTTGGATCAAGAAGAAAGGGAGTAAAATTTTGCAAAAGGGCTTCTGTCCAACCTATCACATGCAGACATGCCCTCACCGCCTACCTGGGAGTAACCCGCTTTCTATGGGCCTAATCAATGCAAAAGCTACTCATACAGCAGGTCTTAGAAGCATAGGATAAAGTTTGACTTAGTTTTATTTATTTATTTATTTTTTAAAGATTTTATTTATTTATTTGACAGAGAGACACACAGCGAGAGAGGGAACACAAGCAGGGAGAGTGGGAGAGGGAGAAGCAGGCTTCCCGTGGAGCAGGGAGTCCGATGCGGGGCTCGATCCCAGGACCCTGGGATCATGACCTGAGCCGAAGGCAGACGCTTAACGACTGAGCCACCCAGGCGCCCCTTGACTTAGTTTTAAACACAGGTGCTTGCTTTGTTTTAGTACCTAAGACTTTTGTTTAATGAAAGTACTTCTTTATTTTTAATGTTTTCTTTTGATGTGTACTTAAAACATATCCCGATATCAAAAGCATGAGCTGTTTAATGGCAAAAACTTACCAAGGTTCATAACCCCTCTTAAAAAGAAACTCTTCCATTTTTAATTATGGTAAAACTCTGTGAAACAATTTTAGGTCACAGACATTCACACATAGAATTCTAATCATGAAAGCAGTGGGTGGTTTCCCTGCTTGCCTGGGGACGCTAAAAAAGACCCTTATGAGTCCCATCAATCAAGGAGTAAAATCATTTTGGCTCTCATTATAGTTATATGGAGGAAATATTTTTATGTTTTAATTTAAAGATATGGCTCCAAATAGCAAAGGGCTCAGTTAATATCCTGAAACAAGATTCTCCAACCTAGCAGATTTGTACTGGGAATGGCTTACAGCTGACTTTCTAAATAGAAAGCTACATTATTAATGACACCCCAGAAGATCTCAGCTGAGCAGAAATGAGGCTGGTGGTAAAATTAAAATAAAATATTAATACAATTGACTTCAGCACAGTCAATAATCAGTAATCAAAACCAACGGCACTGCAGGGCAGGAGGCCTATTTAATTTGTAGTTTTACTCAGCCACACACATCCATGATCACCAGGGGCCACTTGAAATGCTTCCCAGGGCTGAAGTAACAAGACTTAGCCATTACTAACAGGCTTTTTGCAGCTGCCAAAGAACTCCGGGTCAGAGATTGGGTCCATGAGGTATGATCGAATGATATTAGCTCGTAAACCTTTCGGTGCTTCATTGGTCATTTTCACGCCATTCTGCAGGACAGACACGGGGAAGTTTGGTGATGGGTAACTTGTCAGCCAAATGCGGAAATCTGGATGTGTGGATTCTGGGCTTAACTCCTGCAAAAAAGGAAATCAGACATGAATGGGAAAATCCAAGAGAAGTCTCCAGATCATATGTGCATGGGATGGGTTGGAAGTGGGAGGAGGCACTGTTACAAAATAGAACCCACTGCTGCAATTTAAGGCACAAGTCTTAAAATCAGATTCTGTCCCTGAAACAACATTCTTCATTGAGAAGGCCCAGAGTGTTGCCGTGCTTCTCGAAAAATTTAAATCATAGGACTAGAAAGTTCACAAAGGTATTACAAAGGTATTACATAATTTAGAGTTGGCCACAGTAGAGACTAAGACATTCCAAAAAAATCTCATATCTTAACTGATGTTGCTGAAATATTTATAGCTATAATTCTCTGCCCGAGAGCCAGATCAAGAATAATCCATTCTTCTTACTGTAGCCAGGTTGTGAGAATGAGCAACATAAGTCAATATTAAACCAAGCAGAGATGAAAAGAAGAAAAAGAGAGCGTTTTGAAAGGTGAAGCATTAAAACATATCACTATCAGCTACATTTTCTTAAGGGGATATTCAGGTCTGCACTAGGGAGGATAACGGAACCCTCACTTAGCACTGTCTTGAAGGCTGTATAGGTGAGGAATGATTATCACAGGCCCTTTCCCCTCTTCCTGGTCAGTCCCATTCCCTATTGCTACTTCCCCCAATTGTTCATGTCAGTAGTATCTCATGCTTTTTTTTAATTTCAATTCTTTATCAGTAAAACAGTTTTTGAGCACTTACATGGTGAAGAGACAAGGGTCAATTAGGAAGGATACAGAGGTGCCTACCTTCTTTAATAACAATAGTGGAGAGTGAGGGCACCGTTTTTCTCTCCTACCAGCTGCCCTATGCCCAGTGACTCAAACAGCATGACTCATGGGAATTTTGGGCTACGTGTGTCATCCATTAGGGACAGCTCTTCTCTCCTATATGACTCTCTGATGGGTATCTATGACACAGTTCAACAGGTCATGAGAAAGGCCTAGAGATGGAGGAGCCATGAGGAAATAGGCACGAATATAAAACCTCTAATGTAACACCTGAAGGATGAGAAGATGTTTGTAAGGCAAATAATAGAATCATTTTTCAGACAGAAATAACATGATGGCCTATATTCTTTTTTTTTTTTTTTAAGATTTATTTGTGAGAGAGGGAGAGAGCGGGGGAAGGGGCAGAGGAAGAGGGAGAGAGAACTCAAGCAGACTCCCCGCTGAGCGTGGAGCACAACATGGGGCTCGATCTCACGACCCTGAGATCATGACCTGAGCCAAAACCAAGAGTCAGACGCTTAACCGACTGAGCCATCCAGGCGCCCCATGATGGCCTATATTCTTGAAAAAATGTGCTGTATCAATGAAAGTGAAAGAAGTTCAAATGGCTAGAGCAAAGAAGTCATAGAAGATGAAAAAAAAAAAAGAAGTCATAGAAGATGGTAGCAAAGGTCAACAGGAAGTGTGTTGTCAGCCATGATGAGGGTTTAAACTGTCTTGCATGCAAAGGAAGAGTTTTAAGCAGAGAAGCAATATTCATTCACTAATTCAGGAAGTAGTTACGGATTGTCTCTCTGGGCCAGCCACAATTCAAGGTGCTGGAGATAAAGCAGAGAACAAAAAACAAAGTCACTGTTCTCATGGGGCTTATATTCCAATGGGAGATGCAGACAAAACGGTGACAAGTGGCACAAAGGAAAATACAACCTGTTCCTTAAAGTTTCAATTGTACGTCTGGATAGTGCAAGTTATATCATTAGCTTGGTGAATTAGTAACAAAAGGGACTCTGAGTTAGGAAGGGTCTAGAGTCATGGGTAATTACATCAAATGTATTTTCTCTATGTTTGTTGAAATGAAGCACCAGGTCTTCTGTTTCCTCAGTTGAGCTATGTGGGGTTTTCTTCTTGGAATTTCTGCCTACCAAAATGGGGAAGTGCCATAACCCACTGCAAGAACAGGTGGAGGAGTATTCCTTTGGTTTCAGACTGATCCTCTGTGGCAGGCTCACTGTCTAAGTAGGTGAGAAGTGAGTTAAAGCAGAGTTAAATCCTGAAGCCTTTTGGTTTAGAGTGGCTACATGAATTTCACCCTGAAAAGCCTCCTTTGTTGTCTTTGGTCCGCTGCTATGAAAGGTATATTGGTTTCTGTCTGCACTGTGGTTTACCCCCATCTTCGAGGCTATTCTTGTGGATGAGAGAGATTTCCAATTCACTGCATAAGCCCTTGTCCCCGCTGAGAGGGACTGGGCAAGGTCTGACTGTGTGATTTCCTCTGGTCCCCTAGTCCCCCATGTGAGCCCATCTCTCCTATAATCCAGCCAAGCCACTAGCCTGCAGCCCTCCAAACCAGAGGAGGGCATGGATTTGAATGGCACGTATATCACTAATTTTGAAGGGGGAATACAATCTAATAAAAACACACTTGAATTTTTACCTCGCAAACTTTCTCGAGGGTTGGCATCCAAGAGGTGGCAAGGTGACAATTCTGAAGAACAACCCATGTTCCTTCCTTGATAGCTTTTTCTATCATCTTCATAGCTATGGGCCCTTGGCCTTGACCAAGAGATAAAGAGCTAAGTTTTGATCCCCCATATCCCTGTGTACAAAAATAGTAAAGATGTTATTTGATAATGCATTTTTAAAGAAGAATCACTATTATTTTTACAGGAAATGTTAACATGAAGCATATTAAGATTTAATTATGCAGCATCCCTCAAAGGTCTAAACATATGCAGCCAACAAAATTCTTACTGATTAAGAATCTTATAAATACTCAGAACACAAGTCAGTCAGTTCATGTTGGAAACAGTCATGGTAATAAATGGAAAATTCGTAGGGTCTTTGATTGTTGAAATAGGAGAAGAAAAAAATTAAGAACATTTTACCATGAGGAAACATGAGATGAAAAGACCTGGCTTCAAGCAGCAAGTCCTAAAATCCAGAGCCCAAAAGAAAACTATGGACAGATGAATTTGTCTTGTTTCCTCCAGATCTTTGAATAATTATATTTTAATTAATTTGGCTATTGCATAAAGTTCAGAGAAAAAAAAAACATTAACCTCTAATTCCCATTTAAAAGTTTTTTTTAAAGAATTCTGTGGGAATGTTTGTTTGGAATGCATTTCTCCTACGGCCTGATTCATCTGCAGCTTCTGGAAACAGTGTCTGTGACTCCCTGAGCTCTTTCTCTCTAGGGCAGTTATCACCGAATGCCTCTTCGGATGAGGCCTTGAATTATGGCAGCAGTGCTAGAGTAGGGTCTCAGGCCACCTATGAACATCCACAGCTCATCAACACTGGCAGGTAGAAGCATCAGAAAACAAAACAGAGCCAGATACTACTGTTTCTGGAAGAAGTGGAGATAGCAGGTGAAGACAATGCACTGAGCAGTCCTACGCAGGGGCCAGAGAACAATCACGTTGTACAATGTGGGAAGAAGAATGGTGAGGAGCTAGGAAGATCTCAAAGGATCGAAAAGGTCATGTTGATGTGGAGAGGGTGAATCCCACCTAAAATGAATTCTAGCATCCACACCACTGCCACTCTGGTCCTTCCCACCTTTGCTCTTCCTGGCCTTTTAGCAGCCGCTCCCTAACTAATGCCCTGCTTCCATTTTGCACCACTCAAATAAATTCTCCCCACTGCAGCTAGGATGAGCTGTATAAACTACAGATCAGATCATGTCACTTTGTTGCCTAAAACCCTACATCATCCCATTGTATTCCAAGTCCTCAGTGTAGCCTATGAAGGCCCTACACGCCCCGGACGCTCGGGATACGATCACAGGCCCAGGTGCTGTGGTCTTGCCAGCCGAGCTCCAGCACGTCTTTAACCAGTGCTAAGTGCTGTACTCCGCTATCACTCCGAAGGATCTAAGAATCACACCCAGTGAACAAAACATGAAGTATTACAATAAATTAGCCTAACAAAGAGTATTTTAACCATTTAGCTGTGTGGCCTCTAAGAAGCCACTTGACCTCTCCATGCTTGTGTGTCCCTCTCTATAAAATGGAGATGCCGCTATTTACCTCACAGGATTGCTTTAAGAATTAAAAGACAGATGTGCATAACAAGGTCTAGCAAAATTAACAGTATATATAAAGCACAATAAAAGCAGTGGTGATGGTTTTAGAAATGTCAGTATTGGGGCGCCTGGGTGGCTCAGTCGTTAAGCGTCTGCCTTCGGCTCAGGTCAGGATCCCGGGGTCCTGGGATCGAGCCCCGCATCAGGCTCCCTGCTCGGCGGGAAGCCGGCTTCTCCCTCTGCCTCTCCCCCTGCTTGTGTTCCCTCTCTCACTGTGCCTCTCCCTGTCAAATAAATAAAATCTTAAAAAAAAAAAGAAATGTCAGTATTACTTCCATAAAATGTTATTTTGGTTAGACCAAAAGGGAAAAAAAAAAATCAACTTGAAAATGGCCAGTCACCTGTTTATGAAGATTTTCTTACTCTTGGTTGAATGTTGTAAGAAAATTGACAGTAAATTCATTTGAATAATTTTTAAAGCCTTGAAATATAAATATTAGAATGTATTCTAACCTGGTAAAGTACCTGTAATATATGATTGTCCTGGAGAGTCAAGAAGGTCCCCCATTAGAGACTGGGAGAAGGGGCAGGATCAGAGAAGGTTCTCCCCAGGGTCACAGTCCAGACTTGAATTTATTAAATCAACCCAAGCTCCTACACTGATGCCATAATGTCAGAGAGTCCCTCTGTCGCCCCAAAATAAGAGTGAGTGCCCCCAAGTTCTGGTTTTATAATCTGGGTATAGAAAATTATTTTAATGTCAGTGCTGCCATCTAAATATCATTTTCTTGAGACTGTCAACTTTGGACCCCCCAAGTCTTTCGAGAGCTAAGTGAGTGATCAATTTTTACCTTTCCCTCCCCCACTTAGGATAAGCAAGTTTGTTTTTTAAAAAAATTTGGCTGGAAAATACTCATTTTTATAATATCAGATAACCTCATCTATTTTAAAGTACCTGGTCATCAGCAAATTTTAGAAGGGCAGCCATGGGATCTGCTCCGGGAGAAAGCACAAAAATCAGTGGTGAACAGCAGTTACTATCTCCAAATGCCTTGGATAAATCAAAGGGGGGTGGCTCAATGAATGTGCGCCCCAATCTGTTGATTATAAATTCTTGCAGCATTGGAATAACCTAGAGAGGGACAAGAATATATTTGAAAGAATATTCAAAACTGCTTACAAACTGAAAAGTTCAGATCCAAAGATATTTTAAAACAAAAGACTACATTAGCTTAGTTATTTGTTAATGTTGGTGGAGGGTCAAAGGCATCACTTTATATGAATGTCTTTTAGATAGAAAAAAATGACAAATTATTTAAATAATAAAAGATGAGTGGTTAGTGGCACCAGAATTCAAAGGCATTTTTCTTCCCTTCAATGAGCATTCAGCACGTAGTGGATGAAGAATATAAGAAACCTTAACTCTTTACTTAAGTTTTAAAATACTATGTTCTAAAAATCCACAACTCAAAAGTAGAAATTTGAGAGTGATTTATACAGTACTATACCATCAAGAAAGAATCAATATAGCTGGGAAAAGAAACAGAAAGAAAGCAAAAAGAAAAGCACTTTGAAAGAAGAACAAGCTATACTCCTGAGAAATAGCCAAAACTGTCTTGCAGAAAATTCCTGATAACATACCTGTGTACTTTCAGGGATCATGTGTGAGAATGAGGAGAACTCTGTGGTTTGGAGGCCCCTCCCAGGCATTCATTGTGGAAATGGAATTTTGTTCATCAATGTGGCTGATGTATAGCCTCTAATACATCCTTCCCTCTTTCTCTCTCTCTCTCTTTTTTAAATGATTTATTTGAGAGAGAGAGAAAAAAAGAGAGAGCAGGGCAGAGGGAGAGAATCTCAAGCAGATGCCCCGCTGAATGTGAAGCCCTAAGTAGGGCTTGATCGGATCACCCTGAGATCATGACCTGAGCTGAAACCCAGTGTCGGATGCCTAACCAACTGAGCCATCCAGGCGCCCCTTTCCTTCCCTCTTTCTAATGAAGGGTCTACACCTTTTCTATCTGGACAATGGCTCCAAGCTAATCACATCTCAGATGTGAGCCAAACAAGTGATAAAGATAGGTTTAACAGACCAGTATCCCTATGTCTAGCTTAATAAATTATGTAGACAACATATCCCAGGAAGAGGAGTAATGGAGTGACAGGAACCCAAAGATATTTTGAAGGCCTCAGAATCACTCTAACTGGATACCTGCTCATACCCAAGGATGGCCTTGTGTATACGCACAACACTCTAAATTAGGTCGTCAACTCCACCAGCTGGCACCTTTCCTGAACTTGGAGCAAATTGCAAGAGCAATTTCCAAATACCAAGTATCTCAAAAAGGGGGTCTCCTCTGGAAAAAGTTACAAGTAGTTCCGAACTTTAATTGTGTATTCTCCTGATCATCTATTCACACAAGGTTTGTAAGTCAAAATCATTGACAGGTCACAATGCCTTAAACGGCGTAAATCCTAGTGTGGATGAGTGTGCGTGACAGAGGGTGTGAAGGTGGGGACCTGGGGACCCCTGAAGGAATATCTGGACTTAAATTAGACTTTTAAATCCCTCCCCAATATTTCTCTAGGTTCATTCAACTACAGAAAAATTACAGAAGAATAACAACAGTGTATAAGCACTGTGTTGACAAGGACCTACCTCACATGATGACTCATAAATTCTTTGTACACAATAAATATATACTGAACAATGAATGAATAAAAACTTGGGATGCCTCTTTTTGTGAAGGTGAGATTCTAATTATAGAAATTCTAAACAAAAGTCACAGCATAATAATTCACCCATACAAAAAGTTGCATTTCTATATAAGTTATTTCATGTTTCAGATATTTTGAATGCACACAGATACCAAGCTTATTGCAGGAAACTAAAACTATCCTGTCTATCCTGGGCCTTGTCCTTGCCTTTCGCCTTACTTTTTTCCCCACAGCTGGTCTTCCTCACTACATTAAAAAATCAACAGCAAGTAACAGAAAATGAAACTTTTTTTTTTTCACAATCTCTTCCCAAGGCTGACTTCTTCACTAAATTAGAGTTTTACAAACAAAAGCCCAAGGCTTTTAAGTTCATGGTTTTACTTTTAGTAAACTGGAGTTATAAGTGTCCCCTCTCTTTTGTGAGTGGTTCAGGATGCTGTCAGCCACTGCTCATATGTAGACCTGGCTGGAGGACCAAGTTAGGGGTGCACACATGGGGGTGAGTGAACACAACTTTCAGTGTTTTTGTTTTTGTTTTTGTTTTAATTTTAACCTGAGTAAGACTTGCTCCCAAGACCAAACTGTAGCTCCCAAGGTGAATTAAGCTGTGCTTGCTGTTCAGTTTGCAAGGCAATAGAATTGGGTTTGCTTCTGCAATCTGATTATGCAAGCATTAGGTCTGTAAAATGAAATCTGTCAGTAACAAAAATTACAGACTAATTTAAGCAGCCATCTTCCCAAAGGCAGGAATGAAGTTTGTGGACTTCCCTTTATGTTTTTCTATGTATTGCAAATTCCTGTAGGATTTATCTGAGGTCAGAGAAACATAGTCCCTTATATTTGACAAGTTTCTTATTGAAAGCTGATTAACTGGCTTTCTGTTTACAGTTCAGAAGGAGAGAACGGTGGCCAGAAGCTCTTCATTTTGTAAATGGGCTCAAAACGCTGCACACTTCAGTATTTATTCCCCTGATATGTTTCTTTTATCAATAAAACACTATAAAATACTAAATTCTTCACAAAAGTGTAAGCCCGTCTCATTTTTCCTACTGGTGATTTAAAGAGCATCTTTTATATTTTTTCTAAACTAGAGCATTGGAGAACCTGGTGTGTGTGGCTTCTTACCACTGGGTGGAGTTCGTTTTGAGGACAGAGCAGTGGAAAGGAAACAAACAAACAAAAAATTGTGCTACCAAATAATGTCTACTGAAAACTAGAGATGAAGCAATTGGTGATCTTCCTGGTGGATAGATACAGTATCTCATGACTTAGAGACTGCAAGGAAATAAAAATCTACAGAGCACTAGCCCAAATAAAAGCCTCATATAGCACTGTTCCTTTCTCTGGTATGCTAATGCCATGTTACTTTGGGAAAACCACTCTTTTAAAAGTATAATAGCCATATATTATTTTTAAATATACACAGATTCCAAAATCCCAATTTACCACTAGAACTTGGAATACCTGGTAACAGCAAGATTGAAAGGTTTGAGGTTGCTAGTAACAGAAGAGCATACCAGTAATTCTTTTTCTGTTAAGGATTATAGGTGTGATTGTATAGCTAATGGTCATTAATCACTTAGGTTAAATTGAATTATGCTCTAGTAGCAAACATTTCCAGATCTCAGTGACTTAACACAATAAAAAGCTTGTTTCTTATCCCTGCAAAGTCCTGTGTGTGCAGGCAACCTACTCACTGGGTCGCCTCAGTGATGGCACTTTAATATCAAATGTGATTCCACAATGTTGATGGCGGGGGGGTTACCCTGGAGAGTCTCATGCTGGAAGTTAAATGCTTCTGTCCTGACACTTCTCACATTTTATTGGCCAAAGCAAAGTTTATGGCCAGAGTCCTTCACCTCATGTGTGCAAGGGAGGAGAACCGGAAATATTAGTGAATAGTATTAAAATGTCTACATTCATCCAACTACCCGAGGAAAACTCTAAAGAAGATATGGAAACACATGGGGCAAAGTTATAAGACAGGGTGCCAAAGTATTGGACAGAGTAGCTATGTAAAGTATAAAACCATAAATTTCACCTCAATTGATTTAAAAACAAAAACAGGGGCGCCTGGGTGGCTCAGTCGGTTAAGCGTCTGCCTTCGGCTCAGGTCATGATCCCAGGGTCCTGGGATGAGCCCCACGTCGGCCTCCTTGCTCAGCGGGGAGTCTATTTCTCCCTCTCCTTCTGCCTCTCCTCCTCCCCCTGCTCATGCACGCATGTGCTCTCTCTCTCAAATAAAAATCTTTAAAAGAAAGTTAGTAGAATAAAAAATAAATAAAAACAAAAACATACAAACAAAACCCCTCAGCATGAATATCTAACTCCTCATCTCCCTCAAATACACTTTAAAAGGAGAATGAATAAGGAAAGTAATATTTGATCTTTTTGGTAGCTCAATGTATTTTCAGATTAAAATGTCAAACTTTTTAAAACATAAAACTGGGGAACATATTTATAGGTGAAAGTCTGCAATAAACTGATATAAAACATGAACAGAAGCTTCTTTGTTTCTTCAAACACTGAGAGGAAAAGATTGGTGGTACATGCGGAGTCATTTTAGTGGAATGGTCTATAGAGCTTAGAAAACAAAGTAAAAACCTTTGAAAATTTTAATAAAAGGTTTTAAAGGAGGAAGCCGTATTAGGCAAGAGTGTGAAATATTTCATATTCTTCCATATTTAATACTTGCAGGGAAAACTTCTGAAGGCTTAACACTAAAGTTTCAGTGGCAATTCATTTTTGAAAGGGCTACCAAGGCCGAGAAGGTTTCATTATTTTAATGATTCCTAAACAATTGTGGCTACTTCCAACACCTAAGAGCAGGGCAAGCATTATGACTTTTTTTTTAAAGATTTTATTAATTTAATTGTCAGAGAGAGAAAGAGAGCGAGCGAGCGCACAAGCAGGGGGGGAGCGGCAGGCAGAGAGAGAAGCAGGCTCCCCGCTGAGCAAGGAGCCCCATGCAGGTCTTGATCCCAGGATGCTGGGATCATGAGCTGAGCTGAAGGCAGATGCTTAACCGACTAAGCCACCCATGCGTCCCAGCATTATGACTTTCGTAGGCCCCAGGCACCTTGTACATCCCTTCCCCCATGAAAAAATATCAAAAATTATATTTTATAATTGTTTTGGTATAATTATAAGCTTAAAATAGACTGGATTATATTTGCTATTTTTAAACAGAATTAAAACATTTGCATAAACAACTAGAAGTATCATGGGCTCTAGGCACGATGCCTAATGGATACTTGGGCCCTGGCGAAGAACACACTGACAAGCCAAGCAAGAATTGCATGTGTTCGTTCAACAGACCATGGCTTACAGAGGGAAGAGTGTCTCTGCCCCACTTGGCACTGATGCATGCAAAAACTTTCAAAACTAAATTGCTCTCACCACCTAAATTCTGGTTTTTTGTTGTTAGGATGGAAGTACTGTCTTATATCCCCTAGCAACTCAAATTGTGAATATAGTAAATTTTGAAATCATTATGTATTACTTTTACTTGAGTAGTAACAGAGGGCAACCAGGTTATTTTTTTCAATTTTTTCTCAACATACCTAATATCTACATTTTTTTCAGAGTATATGGATATCTCTGTGGATGTCTTTATACTTAGATGAATAAATAGCATATAATAATGCAAATGAGAATGTCACTGAGTACTGAGATTTGCTGACATGACAGGTCAGCTGATTCATTGGTTATATAATTTACCATTTAAAGAAATTAAAACGAACAGTATTGACATTTTCCTTTGTAGTTAGCAGTGATGAATGTCTTAAAAATGATACTCTACTAGCTTTCCAAAGGCCAACCGAGAACTACATATAAAGATGGCATTTGAAAAGACAGAAAGTCTACTCTATCTGCTTGGCGCTAACATAAACACCATTGACTAATATCATCAAACTAATAAGAATAAGGATTACAGCATGTAAAAGAAGTAGATTGTAGGGAATTGGGGAAGCATAAATTAAAAGAATCATAAAATAAATAAAACTATAAAATATAGTCTGCTCAGTTCTTAACTTAGTGTGGTTTTAATGATACACAAACTCCTTGAAAAATGACTGCATTGGAAGGAAGTGGGATTAGTACCGCCAGGCTCCTCCACCTCCACTGTGATCATGGAAGGAAATAAAAGTTGTCGGGACTGGAATGGCGGGGTGGGGACTGGAATCACTGAGCTGCTTTAAAAGCTTGCACTTACCTTGTCTGGCCTCAAGCAACGAATGATAAGCATCCTTTGAAACTCATTTGCTTTATCTTCCCAATTTTCAGGAAAAACCTCATGATGTGGCTCCTAGAATTGCAGTAGACACAATTCAGTGTTATTTTAGAGATTATTTCTAAAGAGAATAGTATTTTGACTTAGAAACTGATTTTTAGGGAAAGCGTATAATGACTAAATGAAATCAAGAAGACTAATGTAAATTTTATTAGGCTGGGGTAAAGTTAGGAAATAAGGAATGAAAAGAAAATTTAAAACACCACAAAGGGATCAAAACTAGGACATGAATTAAGCAGGTTAATGTCAATATGAATACTAATCATTAGACAAAATGAATCCTGTTATTAAAAAATGTGCATATGGAGTTTTCCCATTATTTCTCCAAAGGCATTTAAAAACCTACCAACTACTGTCATCATCTATTTATAAAAATAAATATTTATTACAAAAGAAGAAAGGCATTATACTTAAATTTATTATGATATTTCCTGTTTTGAACAATGTTTTGGTGTCTTTTTTATAAAGGTATATTTGAAACTGTATATAGTAAAAAAGAAGCCAAAAAAGAGAGAAAGCTATTAAAAATACACAAGAAGAGAGGCATTAAGATCTCAGGAGGGGTAAAATAAAAAAAAAAAAATAATAAAGGAGACATTTGTAAAAATTTTAAAACTCTAGGGAAGGCTATGTGGTATCTCATATTAGAAATCTCCATGCTTCAGCATAGTCAATAATATTTCTGTTTCAAATTAGAATGAAGTACTCACAAAAACATATTTGTCTCTAAGAAATAGATTTTTATTACTAACAGAGAGAGATCCAAAAGAGATTCAGTCCACAATATTTGCATTTATGTATAGATACACTCTCATTGTCATGTATAATACAAGTTGGTAACCAAATAAAAAATATTCTCCACATATCTTGCTCTTTCTTTCTTCTTCCCATCTTCCCCAAAGAGAGCTCTTACATATTAAACCCAGGAAAGCAGGATGTCATGAGAGTAGAAATAAAGGAGTATAAAAAAATAATTATGAACTGGCAAACTATTAGCCCTCATGCTAAAAAAAAAAAAAAAAAAAAGTGAAGGCAGGCAACAATTTCTATGTATTCCAGAAGGGAAACTGTTTTACGGTTTGTGTTGACTATAATAGTCTCCAATTATCAAGATAGGGTCCCATGAAAAATTGTTTGAGAATAATTAGCTTTTCCCTCTGAAAGGGAGGTGGAAATTTTATTCTGTCCACAGTTCTTCTAGCCAGAGTACAAATTAGATTTACATGAAGCAAATTAACAGGAGAAAAAAACCAAAGTTTTATTACATGTACATAGAGGCCCAATCATGACACTGAGACCTAAAGAAGTGATCAAAGCATCAGTTCTCTTTAAAAAAAAAAAAAAGTGATTAAGGCAGGTAGTTTTTATACTTTCTAGACAAAGAGACCATAAATCTGTGAGGAAAAAAAAGAAAACTTAACTTTGGGAGTTTCAGTTAGTAAGGAATTCTAAACAGAATTTGGGCTGGGGTTAGTAAATTAGTAAAAAGTAACAAGGGCTGTTGATACAGCCTTCTATGCTCTAAATTCCTGGTCTCCGGTGATGAGGATGTCTTTTTACCTACTGGTACAGGGAGGATACCTTTCACATGGGAGATTTATTTCCACTCTCAGGGGGACAGAGGGTCCTCTTGCATAGGCTGTCCCTTAAGTAACTTTTATTTAAAATAATCCATATGCCAAAGTGGCCCATTTTAGGTAGCCTACCCTTGGCCCCTACACTTCATGTCAAATGACAAAAATGTTTATTGGCTTCTATCCGGCATTCTAGCTTATATCTGCATTTATATCCTGCACTCAGAAAATCTAAACAATAGCTCCTTTGTAAAAAAAAAAAAAAAAATTTAAGATTTATTTATTTTAGAGAGAGAGCACCAGCAGGAGGAGCAGAGGGAGAGGAAGTCTTAAGCAGGTCCTGTGTTGAGTGTGGAGCCCGATCCCATGACCCAAAGATCATGACCTGAACTGAAACCAAGAGTCAGACACTCAACTGCACCACCCAGGCACCCCTGTGAAAATTTTTTTAAAAGATTTTATTTTTAAGTAATCTCTACACCAAACATGGGGCTTGAACTTCCAACCCCAAGATCAAGAGTCCCATGCCCTATCAACTGAGCCAGCTGGGTGCCCCTATTTTATAAAATTTTTAACTCACTTGCTATTATGATTGCAAGGTCTAAATTGTTAATAAATAAAAACCTGGTATGGAAATCCAAAAAAAATATTTTAAGGACTCTGCATCGCCACACATTTGAGGATTTAAGGATTTGAACAGAAGTTCAGAAGAGAACTACCAATTTAGAAGGTGGGGATAATATAAATCTAAACCTTGATTTCAAAATCTGACCAGTTATTTAAAGCTTAATTAAATATTGTTTTTAGTCAAAGATAAGAATAAATTACTTAGCATTATTTTGTCCCTTTAAAAACTTTGGAATAAGCAAAAGGGTTAAAAACATACCAAACTATCATATACTTTTTTCCATCCATCCTTTAAGTGCATAAACTCCCTACGAATGGTTTTGAAGGAATGTAAATCATCCAGTCGACATATTTCATCCCATGATTTTTGAGGAAGCCATGTGCAAGGGTTGGCATGAGGATTATCCAATCCAATGCCACCAGTCAGCAGAAATCTCCACTCAGCTTTATTAATCTTTGGAAAACAAAGTATCATGAAGAGTCAGAAATGAATTCATTATATACATAATACATTTAAACCATTTTAAAAGAACTGACTATTGATTTTCAAGTTTTAGGTATGGTCCTTATGGAATCCTATAGCTACAGTATAGCAGCTCAGTACTTACTCATATGAAACCAATTTACCCATTATAACTGGCTTTCAAAATATTTCCATTCTAGATAACTACTTTTTGATAATTTTCCTCCAGAATTACTAATCTAAATATAAAAATTCTCTTTGAGTATATGTTTTCTAAAAATGTCTGTTTAGAGTCTTACAGGCTCTAAAAATTGTGGGAAGACAGAAAGGAGAGGGTGGGGGAATCAGCAAAAACAGGTGAGGGGGAGTGGGAGATACAGGCGTTCAGTATGAAATGAGGAAGTGACAGGAATGAAAGGTACAGGTAAGGAATGTAGTCAATGGTATTGTAAGCGCATTATGTGGTGGGAGATGGTAGTTACACTTGGTGGTATAGAGGTGATGAATCACTATGTTGTACACCTAAAACTACTGTGTGTCACTGTGTGGCAACTATACTTAATAAATATAAAAATAAATAAAATAAAAATGTTGGGAAGACAGAAAGCATTCAATCTGCCATATTTTCAACTATTCTCCGTAAAATGTAATGAGGTACTCCTATGAAACTTTTGCAAGAAATGCAAGAATAAAACCTTTATTCCTTCAGAATTCAACCAATACATCACCAAATCAAATTAATAAATCTTAAACACCTAAGTAAATAAAATAGTGAATTTTGTTTATCACTCTTTTCAATACCTCTTTCATTCTAAAGGTGTTTCCTATATTTTAAATGAATAGATTTGAAATAGAACAAAAATTTATGACAGGTATTGTTAAGCCCAAATGGATTTGACTAACTTGCGCAAGTTCTTAAAAACATTACCATTTATATGATTACTTGGTGTAAATATATCAACATATTTAGTAAATTTATTAGCATACTTAAATGAGATTCTAATAGAAACTAATTTATTTTAAACTAAAACATACATAAATTTAAGTAATAATTACATAGTGTACTCTGCTTTATTTTTCATCTCTGTGAAACTCAGTCTAGTTGTGATGTCTTGCCTTAACTATAATAATTATTGTTTACCTATTTACAACCCTTTTGTATGTATATATACATACCCCCCCACACACACCCATACAAATTAGTAAATTAATGAATAAATGTTAGTCTTTTTTCTACAAATTATAACAGTACTGACCGCACGTTCATGTAGTAGCAGATTTATAGTTAGACAAAAGGAAAAGAGTAGCTTATCCTTTTCAAAGAGCGATCGGCAGACATTAACATACAGGGAGTAAGTAAAGTGATCCTTCAGAATCTGAAGCCTACAGGTCAACAGAAAGACAAGTGAATAAATAAAAATGCATTATACCTTAAAAAAAATGCTCTTAAGGAAACCTAATATAAACCATTTAGATGCATATTCTTCTAATAAGCTTTCTGGTCAATTACCCCCAAAACAATCAATGATCGTCATTAACTGGGTGCACCAATTTGAAAGCTACACAATGTAGAAACCCTTCAGTAGAATTGCATTTTACTGTTGATTTTTTAAAAAAAACTTAATCTTCCTTTTGGAAAGAAGTCAATGCATGGTACATTAATCTATGATGTTTAAAGATTTGTGGATTATTTTTAACTATAAAGCATTTCTTGGGGTAAAATTTGATTTTCTTATTCTGCAGATGTTTCCAAATGTTCTATATTATATATTAAATTCACAGATTAAAATTAATAGCTTCTTTATTAAATTAACATTTGGTAGTGTGCTACTCTGCTCATAAATCCATAAAAGCTGGAGAAATCACAAAACTTGATAAACTCCATTTTTATTTACCACATAGATAGAACATGGAAATAGGAATAATGACAATATTTGCAACTAACAACTTTCTAGTAAGTGCTAATATGTGTTTTCTGTATTCATAGCAATTCTTTACATGAATATAACACTTTAAAAATTATCATTTAGGG